TTGTGGTTTTTTTTACATTTGTTTATTTGCATTTAATAATTTTTAAAATAATTTTGCTGAATTATTCAGGCTGCTCATTTGCACTCTAAGAATTACCTTCAGCCACTTCTGAAAGGGAAAGGACATGGAGGAAAACAGCATAATGAAACAAGATCAGAAGGTGTATATTAAATGAGAACGTAAGATTGTTCAGGAAACTATTAGAGAAAATCTTATTTACAGTTGCCATTTAATCCAAATTTATAGCTCAGAAGATTATTTCTCTGCTGAGTTTAAAGAGCCACAGCAGTCTATTACCAGCTCACAAGAGGCTGCAGGAAAAATTTTGCACGAGTGTAAGGATTTCAGGATATTTTCATAGACATTAATCCCAAGAGATTTAGTCCTTTGCTGTAAACACTGATTGCAAGCTGAAAATTGGGAGTTCAAATGTTTTCTGCCCTTTCTAGTTATTTGGAGTTCTTTTGAGGAAGAGGCTGATGTCTGTGCCCTGCTCTTAGAAATCATTTGTTTCAAGAGTTGAGATTTCCATACAGTGAATCATTTCAGGTAACAGCTCTCTTGCACTCATTTTGATAAACAGGGGTTTAGGGTGTTTTTCCTTTTCAAGTTTCAGTTCAGTTAGAGTACAGTCCCTCCTGACCAGCAAAGCAATTGAAAACAAAAACAAAAACAAAAACCAAAACAAAAAAAAAGTTTATCTAGCTACCAAATCTTTCCTCCCTATATGCTCATTAAGAGAAGTTTCACCTTCTTTGTATTGCGCAGAAGGAAAGAAGATTATGGAGCATATCATCTGTTATTTAAGTTGAAGACAGGAATGCAGAAAAATGTATTGAGAATACTTTCTTGTCAAGAATCCTTTATTTAAAAACAAGTGAATGTTGAATGACAAATAAAGGTAAAAGGACTTAAATGCTCTTACCCACATTGCCATAAATTCATACACTTTGCAATTACTGAGTTTTCTTTTTGTAGAAGCAAATACTTTCCTGTATGAAAGCTTCAGAAGTTATCTAAAAAATGTCTGTATCTTACACCCCTCTGGTCTAAACAGCTATCTTCCTCTGCCAGGAAAAACCTTGTGCTGACAGTTTTTGCTGTGGTGGTGGAAGTCATGTCAGTGGAAGAATTCCTTTTACCTCTCTTAATCATGGATCCATTATGGACAATCTGTTAACAGGGCATGGCTGTTTTGACAAGCAAAGAGCTCTTCTGGTGTAGTTACAGCCCTATACAGTGCAGCAGAGGTACAACTACCCCCAGTACCATTTACAACAGCAAAACTCTGCTTTTGCCAGCATGGCTTATCTTATCATTGTCTGAATGACACAAGCTGCGCTGGTGAAAGTATGGTTCTGACTGCGTAACTCTGAACACTCGCTGCCCTTGGTAGCGCAGCTGGGTTTTAAGCTCAGTTGCAAACCATATCCCTTTGCACATCTGCCTGCAGAACTTTATGGCATAGACCTGACCCAGTGCAATTTTGCTTCTCATTTAAGGAAGCGCAAAGCACAATTTAATAGGTACAAAAGCATAATGACTCCTTTCACACTCATTTACCTGACCCCCACCATTTTCTTCTGCCTCCTCCTTGATTCTTTGCCTACTGCATCCATTGGCCATTTTTTCCTGGTAATTTGGTTCTTCTCTTCCCCAAATCCTGTCTTTGCAGCCTCCCCCAAGTTATATTAATCTCTGCCCTTGAAAGTTGTCCTGCTTTTTCCTTCCCTGCAGGGTAACTGCTGCCTTGCCTACTTTCTTCATGACTGCTGCCTCACTTCCTATTGCTTCATTGCTGCTTGCTGGCCCTCTCTGCTGCTTTGTGAGTGCATCTCAAAGCACTGACTACCATCTTCTCCCTGGAACAGGGGTTTCCTTCTTCCCCATCCCCTTTTCTATTTGCACCCTGTAAGCTATAATTAGCTGTGGCCCAAAGTTAAGAAAATAAAAATGCACGCTAGAAAAATCAAGAGAAACATCCTAACAGCAAAGTCAGCAAGGGAACAACCCAAGGTCCCAACAAAAACTGTTGAATCCTCCATAACTGAGAATACTTAAAGCTAAACCAAGACAATACTGAAAAGTGTACTGCGCAGAGAATTACTGTGCCAGCCTCAGAAAATGGATAGTAGGTGTTTTCCATCTCTAATCTATGATACCAAAAGATAATAAGTGATGTTTCAACTGGATATTGCCACCTTCTTTTAGCTGCCACTGTCTCCTCCATTTGAACAACTGAACAAGACATTGCTGTTAACATAAGCATTTATTTTGTTCTTAAACCTGATTGTGAGAGGCTTCAGAATCCACTCTCCCTAGCAAATGTGACACAAGGAAACACACAGCTGGCTTACTACTTGCCTTCAGGAGGGAAAATAATCACATTTGAGCTAACAATCAATTAGGTGCGAGAGGCTGGGTGGTCGGTAAGAATGAAACATGTTAGTACCAAATCACAAGCTGGGCATTAAACACTGACTTCTTTTTGCACACCTGCGGGGTTTTTTTTGCATTGCCAGGCAACAAAAGTTTCTGGGCAACAATGCAGAGTTTTAAAACAAGTGAAAATATTGCAGTGGGTGGTTTTGCTTATTGTTCTTTTAGCTGCTCCGTCTCTACACTGACACACTTGCACATGGATTATACAACCTGTTTCTGAGGCTCTACATTAGTGATCACAGAATTGCTTGAGAATGTAAATGTCAAACAACTACGCACTGGTTTTTTCATGCTATGTTTTCAAACAGTAGGCTGTGCTGCTCCAAAATTTGGTAAATAATTAAATATGCAGGAGGGAATGTTACTTAGTTTCATTCATTTAAAACACGCTATTTTTCATACTCCTCTTTGAATAATTTGTGTTACTAAAACTGAAATAACACTCCTGTGCCTCTGTTTTTTGTTTTGGTTATAAGGCTGAAAGATATGTCAGCAGATTATCCTTTTAGTCATTCTCTATAGTTATGACTGTATATCCTGAAAGAATAGGTTTAGGCTGGTGAACTTCTCCTGAAAGGGTTTAGAAACACTGGTTATTGTTACAGAAATCTAGATGAATAGTTTATGCTACTTTTTACCTCCTGAAAATTAGAGTTGGGGAAAGGGACTAGTTCATCAAGCTGATCCAGTCCCCAGAAGCAGGGCTGCTCTGCATTGCATCCATCTGCAGGAGACTCCAACAGTGAAAAGAGAGAAGGAGATGGGACCAGCAATTATTGCAGCCAGAAACTTCAAGCAGTCCTGCGATATGTCCTACAGGCTGTGATCTATGGCGGGGAAAAAAAGTGGTGTGGGTTTCAGAAACACTATCTTCATATTTCCATATGAATCCTTAGCCAAGAGGTAGTCTTGGCTGGCTAGGTGAGTCAGCTCAAGGACTGTTTTGCGCTGCTGAAATGTCTCAGAGCCAACAGGGAGCGAACACTTACACATGATCTTTTGCTGTTTTGTTATCACTAACACACTGTCTGCTGAGAAGAGACACCCAGCAGAGAGGATGGCTTCATGCCTGGAGAACTACATTGGGATTTTGGGGGAAATACTGGTTTTAATTGCAGCCCTGCCACTACCAGCCTGTTGGGATGTGAGGGAAAGTGCTTAAGCCTGCTGGGATACATCAGCTTTTCTTTCACTCTGTAAAGTCTAATGTTAAGATAAGTTTGGACTAAAGCTTTGCCTAGCTCATCCAATGCTGCCCTTGAATATAGTGAGTGGGGTTGTTGCAGGAACAAGTTCCACCACTCCCTTGTTCCCCGATTGCCCAGTTTCCAGAGGCCAGGGTAGCTGAGCATGGTGGTGCATCACATTTCCCTGCATGGGGAAAATGGGAATGCTGTAGGATACTGTGCCTACAAATGCTCTGAGGGAGAGAGTTTGCAGCTCATGTATTATGCTCTTCTGTGTGGTTTTCCAGTGCACAAATTCATCAGATTTTCCAAGCAGTTTATAGGAAATATATTTAATTGAACTTCTCCCATTTTATTTTGTATAATACCCTGCCTCTATGGTGGTCACCTTTGTCAGTTCTGTGTTAGTTCTTAAGGGGTTTTTGACCCAAGAAACCTGTGTCTTGATGAAAAAAACCCCTCTAAGCAAAAAAAACCTCAACCCATGAGAAGACTCAGCAATGGCATTTTTGTTCATTTAAAGAAATAACTGGTTGAAACATAAAGGAAATTCAAACATTTCTTTTGGTCTTAGGTTTTATAAAGACTTATTTCTCAAAGCCCTCAGGGCTGTATTCTCTGATCCTCCAAGCAGGCTTTTCCCTGTGTTAGTATGTCAGCCGAGTTCTCCCTCTTGGCACGAGTGAGGACATCAGGAAAAGGATGGCAGCAAGAGGACTCCGGATGCTGAGCAGGCACAAGCTCAGGCAGGGCATGGGGCCTCAAATGCTTCTGACATCCTCTATGGCTGGACAGCCACACGTCAGGGCGAGGGAGCTGGGGCTTGGCAGCTGCCCTCACCCAGCAGTCCTGAGGTGTTGCAAAGTCAGGGCCCAGTCCTGGCATATAAAATGTGCCTGGTTAGTCAGAGAAATGCCACACTCCAAGCTGCTTTCGCTGAAAAGGACGTGTAAATTTGCAGTATTTGCAGTAATTTGCAAAAATTACAGTAACTTCTAAAGACCATGATCTAAACCAGAGAATTTTGATAATGTCTCATAAGATGGGGGAAAAAAGATTTTCTAGCTGACCTTTAACTTCTCTCTTAACGCTAATGTTAGCTTTAGTCTCTGTGCTTTAAGACATCCTCAGGTTGTGGCCTTGATATAAGCTATACATCCTGTTTTTCTTCTCTCCTTGAACACCTTTAATCAGCATCTCTGATATTTAAATTGTGGGTGGGGGCGGAGTTGTCCTTTTCTTGGGACCACAGCAGGTGGCTTTTGTCACCAATATTGCTGTGTCACCCAGTGGTGTCAATGAATCTGGTAACACACTCAACATCTTCACAAAACTATTGTTTTTATTTCTGCTATTGTTCATTGTATTTAACCTCATTGTGAAGGATCAGAGAGGTGTGTGAGGGTTACACAGAAGCTAGAGAAAGTCTTCCTGCCCCTGAGTGTGTTTACAATCACTGTAGGTATTCATGTCCCAATATCCAGAAAGTACAGAAAATATGAGTAGTCCTAGGGGGAAAAAAAATAGTTTTTACTTATCTTGTCATAGAGCAGCCAGAGGAGATGGGATAAACCACAGTAATGCAAATAGTGAAAAGAGCAGAGTGAAGAGAATAGCTATATCATATAAGCCATGTAGTACCATTTTGGGAGAGTCATTCATAAAAGCGGGGTTTATGAGACAGAAATTACCTCTACCTTCTCTTTCACTGTAATAAGTAATAGAAAAAAGGAACCATTTGCTCAACACTTCACATTCAGTACTAGACAGTGGTGTTTTACCTCTCTGATGCATTATAAAAGTTCAAATGACAGAAGGCTGAAAAACTGAATTATTTCATTTCTCTTGCCCACCAATAGCCCAGAATAATTAATTCTTTAACTGTTGAAAGACATATCACTTTTTACTACTTTATAAACCCTAACAGTTAATGGGGGTTTTAAGTTATGTAATAACTGTTTTTAATCATTGGGTTTTTTGTTGTTTTTTTGTGTTGTTTTTTTTTTTTTTTTTTTTTTTTTTTTTTTTTTTTTTTTTTTTTTTAATTTTCAGTATTAATGTAACACAGTACGTACTGGTTCATGCTTCATTCCATCTTACAGAAAGAACAGGGATAAGTGCTATAAAAAAAACTATCTGCATATTTTCTCCAAAGACAAAAATCATTATTTTTTTTCCAATGTGAGTTTTACATGTCCACCTTTTCAGAGCAGATTTCAGATGCTGAATTGAGAAACACTTGTTCTTCTATTCCATCTATCTGCTTGCTAAACTTCCCACATTGAAGGGCTCTTAAGCACCTCCAAGGTTATAAAATACACTGAGGATGGGAATCTTCACGTTGAGGTAGTCCAAAATGCCTCCAAAACTATTCTAGAAATATTAGGCAGAGGTCTAGGAGACATGCATTGCTAACCTCCAAATATGATTACCCGTACAGGAATTTTCACCAGTTTCAACTGCAGGCATTTGTGTAAATAAATGGCTGTGCAAACCAGGCCCATTCTCTGTGAGTTTGCATGTGTGTGCCACGAAGGCTTAAATCACAGCAGTCTTCCAATGTAAACAGAATGTTTCAGGGGCTGAGCCTGAGATGGATAAACTGCTCAGGTTTTTGATTAATTGGATGCCTGACAGCAAATTATACTGAGGATGCAAGCTGGCTGTAAAGCTGCTGAACAACCACTGCAGGTTGGCAGGTACATTGGGGACAGAGATGAAAAGGTTAAAGATACTTTGCAGACAGTTTATTTTTAATGGCTTTCCTTTTCTTTTTTTCGGGTTTTTTTTTTTTTTTTTTTTTTTGTAAAATAAGAACCTTAGAACAATGAGAATGTGCTTTCTCTCATGTTTGTTGCTAATATTGTGGGGTAAACTATGATATTGCTCCTCTATGAGTTAGCCAGTCCGCTTGGGTAGTACAGAGCACAAGTGGCAAAAATTGAGCCCACAGAAACCACCACATCACACACATGTTAAAGCTGCAGTTTCACCTTCTGAATAGACGTGTGCTACCTTTCAGTTTTGCAGTTGTGGCATTTCAAACTCCCAGTTCACCAGACCTGTGCGTGTTTTACTCGTGAGCCCAGAAGGGAAGAGGTTTATTACTGATATGAATCACAGCTCATGGCTTTGAGACAGGACCTATGTATTCCTGGCTTGTATGCCTTTATCCAGTATTGGAAAAAATGGTGCAAATGAAGTTAATCATCACACCTTACATGCAATAGTCTGTGAAAATAGTCAGTTGAGGGCTTACTGCCACAACCTGGAATTTCACCCTGTTTTTCAGGTGAATCCCTTTTCAATCAGGAGATAGGATACCATGTAAGCTGGCACAACCCTTTTGCCTAGAGGCCATGGCTTGATTTCTTTAAAAAACAGGCAGACTCCAGGTTTCACCTCCCCAGTAACAGCTTTAAAAGGCCTAGTTTTAGTAGCTCTAGATATAGTGTAAATAACCATTTCCTTAAAGGTAAACTGGTTTCTCCTATACTTACTAGGCACTCCTCGGAAGCAGTGTTGGTTTACTTTTCTTTTTTTCCCATCGAGCTTTCAGGATGGAGTATTGCCAGGTATTTTGTTTTTATGTACTGTTATTATTTGCCACACAACTCTAAACGGGTACCGCCTTTACAGTGAAATCCTCACCACTCTGAACACCTCTCCATCACTTGTTAAGTCTCGGACACCTTTGAACTTCCAGTGCGGGGAAAGCGAGGGTAAGGATGGTGCAGTGTAACTACCTGTACGTGCGAGCGGCCGCATCTTGCCTTTGATTAGGCACAGCATTTGCACCTCCTGTTCCTGTGCTGATGTTCACGGTCCTGTAACATTTAACGTGTCCTTTATGTCTGGATGGATGGCTGACCCCTGCGGGGACCCAAATCGCTCAAGGACGAAAAGTTTCTGAGGAACCAAACACAAGCAGAAGGTGCCTCCTGCCCGCGGAGCAGCGGGCTGTGCAGCCTGCGGCCGCCGTACCTGGTGAGGCACCGGGCTGGGAGGCGGAGGAGGATGCACAGACATTTCCACGGCAGCGGAGAGCCCCGGTGAATTCCTTAAAGCCGGCGGCGCGGCACCGCCACCGGCGGCTCCGGATGCGCTCCAGCCCCGATCCGGGAGAGCGGCCGGCCGCCGGGGGACACGCACGCCGGGCCGGGATCGCGGCCGGCCAGGCCCGCCCGCAGCGGGAGGGCGCGGGGCGCCGCGTGGCACCTGGCCGCCCCCCCGCTCCCCCCGCGCCTGCCCCGGGCATCCCGCTGCTGCGCTGCCGGGCGGAGAAGGGAGGGACGGAGGAAGGGTGGGGGGGGAAAGTTGTGCTCACTCCTCTCCTTGGAGGCGCCCCTCCCTCCCCGCGACGAGGGCGAGTTAGAGATGCTATTTGCAACAGGCTGCTGCTGCCGCGGTAGCGCGTCCCCGGGAGAGGAGCCGGAGCGACACGTGATGTGTCTCCTTATCAGGGTGCGCGGGGCAGCGCGGGGGCGGGCAGGGGGCGGGGGCGCCCGCGGAGCGCGGCGCGGCGGGGTCCCTAACCGTGCCCATCTCTCCCCTCCAGGGAGGCGCGGAGGACGGGAAGTTAGCGCGGAGTTGATGAACTTTGCACATCCACAGAAACGCCATTTTGATTCCTTTTTCCGGAACAAGTTTGCGGCTCCCTCCCGTGCGCGCTCCCCCCGGCGCGCCCCCGCGCCCCCCCGGCGGCCCATCCTCCCGGCATGTCGCGGCGCAAGCAGCCCAGCCCCAGCAAAGTCCGGCGTAAGTACCGCGGGGCTGCCCGGCCGCGGAGCTCCCTCACAAAGGGCAGGAGCGTGCCTTAACTCTGGAGTGATCTATTTCTTTTTTTTTTTTTTCCTCTTCCTTTCTTTTTCTTAAGGGGGGGGGGCAGGAAGAAAGATGAGGAAAAATAAACTTCTGGGAGGGGGCAGGCGCGGGCGTGAGGACGTTGCAGCGTGTCGGCTGGTCGTGCGACTTATTTAAAAAATGAAATGCTTCTTAGAGGGGGGAAAAAAGTTTCCTTTAAGAAAAAAAAAAAGGAGGAAAAAAGTTTGGCTGGCAGCGGTGGAGATGATGATGAGTTCGTGCAACCTCCCTCTTCCCTTCCCCCGCTCCTCCCTCTCCTCTCCTCCCTCCGCGGCTCCTGTTTTTTTTTTTTTTTTTTTTCCCTTCCCTGTTGCAGACTTTCTACCAACCAGCGGCACCAGCCGCGGCGTTTTGCCTTCAGGACCTGATGCTCATCCATATTAAACCGTCTGAGCTCAGGAATCCGGCCAGATCATCCCCCCCCTCCTGCTGCAAAGTTTATTTTTAACCAGCCACCGCCACAATTTGGATGGGGCTGCGAGGAAGCAACATCTTCTAGCCCGGCTCGCCCCCGTCTCCCGAGCTTGCCTTTTAACTTTTCCTTCAGGCTTATTTTCCTGCCGGCGGTGGCGGCGGGTCCCGCGGCGGCCCCTGCCCGCTGTTCCCGGCTGGGAGGGCCGCGCCGGAGCTGGGAAGTTGGGATGAAGGCGCCCCTTCTCCGCAGGTAGAGCCGGCTTGCGCCGCGCATCTCTCCGCTGACTTTCCGCTCCCCCGGCAGGGCCGGACGGCCGCGCCTGCCTTTCCTCGGCACCCTGGTACCTCTCCCCTCTCTTCTGTACCCCTCTTCCTTACTTTATTTGATTTTTTTCGCCTTTCCTTCACTTTCTCCCCCCGCCCCCCCCCCCGTCCCGGTAGGGACGTGCGTGTCCTTTCCCCTCCCGGCCTGCGCGGCGGGGGCGCGGGGGAGCCGTGCCCGGGGAGGGCGGGGGGCGCTGCCCCCGTGGGTCCCCCCCGTCCCGCTGCCTTTGTGCGGTGCCAGGAACACATCCCTACGCGGCGGGGCCAGCGGCGGGCAGGGACGCCTGGGCGGCGTCACCACTACAGGAAGGAGTCGGGCAGCATCCGAAGCTCAGGAGGGGTGTCCGGGCCCTCGCCCCCTTCAGCCCCATCTTGGCGGGGGAGAGCAGCGGCGAGGCAGAGGTGACCCCCTTCCCTCAGTTGCGGTGTTTGAGGTGAAAACAAAGTTTGGGGCGGCGCGGCTGCCGCCCCCCCGGCGCGGTGCCCGGTGCGGATGGGAGCCGGCCGAGCCCCGTCTCTGGGCGACTGCGCTCCCTCCCCATCGCCGTTGCTACGGGCCGGACACCCCCGGCGGCGCCGCGGGGGCCGCGCTGAGGATGCGGGGCAGCTCCTCCTGCCCAGTTCGTAAAACACGGGCTCGGCATCCCCCCCGCCCCATCCGCCCGGGGTGAGGGGCCGCGGGGGTCGCGGGCCGGGCCGGGCCGGGAGCGGGGCGCGCCGAGATGCTGCAACTTTTTTTTTTTCAGCAGAGGAGGGAGGGCGGTGGATTGAACTTTGTCATGTCGCAGATAAGTTTCCTTTGGCTTCTTCTCCCTGCACTTCTCCCCCGCCTCCCTCCGCACGCACGCTTGGGTTTTTTCTTTTTTTTCTTCTTTCGTTTTTTAATAATTTTCCCCGTTTCACTTCTTGGCTGCGATATCTTCGCCTGCTCGGCATCCTCGCGGCGTTGCGCAGAAGGAGGAGAGCGCTTCTCCTGGCTCAGCACATTTCCCTGCCCGGCCGGGCCGCTGTGCTCGGCTGCGCACCCCGCGGAGGCCCGGGCGCCTCCGTGCCCCGCCGCCCTCCCACGGCCGCGCCGCCGTGTCCGGCCCGCAGCTGATGCTCTGGTCCTGCTCGCCGAGGAGCCAGCATCCTGCCCGGGAGCCACTGGGCTGATTGCTGGAGGGAAGGCGGGGGGCATACCAACCATTCGGTTTTAATCCCAACTCCCTCTTTCGCCTGTTTTCTCTTGGAGATAAGATCAAGTGTATTTACTTATTTGAGAAAGTAAACATCTAGTTCAGTGTGATTTGGGGGCAGTGGTCTAGGAGAGACAGCCAATGCAGTGGATGTTTCCTACCATTCCAACATCCAGCCCCATGGCTTGGAAAAGAAATTGCTTATTAACAACAGGAGCAGTTGCTAAATAACGCCGAGTTGTCACTCCTGCAGTGCACAGTAGACAGCTGTTATGATGGCTGAAGTTTTTTCGTTGAGGTCGGTCGTTTTGACACAAGCACTGAGTTTTGTTACCGCAGTTCCTGTTTTCCACAGGGTCAGCGTGCGTGAAAGGGATGCAGTGACTCAGGGTCAGGCCAGCCATATTTGTTTTAGGTTTTAATTTTCTCTTTGAAGACTTAAGGGTATATAGTCTTTTCTTGGTGGGCCTGCATAATGCCGATTAGTCTTAACCGGAGTTGGGTACATCCAGGAAAGAATAGGCCCTTTTGTTTGTTAGAATCCCAGAAACAGCATGAATCCATCATCCAATCAATCAGAGTACCAGGGCTCTCCCTCACCTGCCGGCAGGGACGCATCCAGCCTCTCATGCTGCAGGGCAGCTGTTCCCGACCGAGTGTGGCCTCTTTTGCTCCCTCACCTTCCTCCTCCTGGCATCCGTATTTGGAACTGAATTCATATCATGTACTTGGAAAAATACCATCCTTTAAGTGCAGTCAGGTAAACTTTTATTCTCCTTTCATTTCACAGACTTCTAGTCTGTGACTTCTAGACAGCTTCTAGTTGTCAAATTTTTGTTTGCTCATCAGAAGAGACTATTTATGTAGCCACTCTTACACATTTCTTTTGAGAACTAACAATGCTAAAGAATATATATATATATATATATGGCTTATATAGCAGAGTGTTGACTGTTTTTCTAGGATTTTGGGCTTTTTTGTTGGGTTTTTTTTCCCCATCTGGGTGTTTGAAGCATCTTATTCTGACTTAGCTCACCCAAGTTGTGATCCCATTCTTAACTCTTAACAGTATTCAGTGACCCTCTGACAAAATGGCTTTTCGTTTTGATTGAGGATTAGAAAGTAACTTCAAGTTTGAAAACTGGGAAAACTGAATCTCTTCATTACCTGTCAGTAGTATGTGTGATCTCTTTTGGTACTAAAGATAAGTGCAGTGTTTCCCAAAGTGTACAAACACTGACCTATGTAGTGCTTTCCTCACTCCTTAAGGATATTATCACTTTGCCTGTGTTGAAGTAACACTACAGTCATAACAGTAGCTTGACTTTAGTCTGTGAAACTTTCTTCTTAAACAGAAATAGTTTGAATTGCTCTCAGTTGGATTGGATTTCTCATTTAAATAAAAACTGGTGATGCACTTACACTGTATAGATTAAAAACATATAGATAAATCCCTTTGGTTATATTCATTATCCCTTGTAAAAGTAGTTGGTGCTTAGAAGGTCATAGGATAAGTGTTGCTAAGCAGCTAAACAGAAGGATGCTAAAATTAACCTGAGTGTTTTTGAAAAGGATTCACTTTTTAAGTTGCAATAATTTTTTAATTGACTTAAAATACACCTTTTGCTAGTAAGACATTAAAAAAAATATACCTAGATGCATAAGTAAAGCTTTCCAGGGGACTGTGTCAAATGTTCAAATTATCTACATACAGAAGTAATTCTACCCTCCCCCAGTACTCCTAAATTTTACTAACATCGGGCCCTTGATCTGTGCCCTTTGCAAATGTCCCTCCAGAGTTATCTGTTGCTCCAGGAGCATCTGATGTATGTTGGATAGCAGCCTGTAGGGACAGTCTTGGGAAAAAAGAAACTGCAGAAGTCCCCAGGAACAGGCAGAAAACAAGTAAATCCTGTTAGTCTGAAATCTGTGCATGTGTGGAAAAAGCCCCTTTTAACTTTTTGATGAATGATGCCTAAGTTTGGAAATCTCTGTTTTAGGTGTACACTCTTAAAACATGTGAAATCATGTCTTCCTCTTTCAGCACGATAAAGGTTGTTTTGAAATGAGTGTATTATTGGACTGTGTTACGAGACCAGTTTGCGACTGCTGCCTTGTTGATGTGGTAGCTTCTTTCTTGGGAGATAATTGTCTGTAGACGAGGATGGTAGTGCTGCTTTCTGTTCTCCTGAAGGTAGTGAGAATGCTTCTTGCTCTCTGTCTTCTGCCTCCTTTCTGAATTCAAGCAAGATGGACAGTCATAGGGTTACAGCTTTAAAATATGCCTTTTCAACAGCATTCTACAACTTGGAAAAGGGCCAGGAACTGCTTCGTGTTCTTTTGAGAGCAGCTTTATCATGGATAGAGTGCTCAGGTACCCTGCAGCTTTGCTGGAA